AGTTCTTCTAGCTACTTATAGACGACGAGTAACATGCATGCTAGCTATTTTAGTTTTCTTCATGTAAAATGAAATTCTTACTATTCAACACTTTTCTATCTACATATTGAAAAGTTAAACTTAAAAAAGAAAAGAAAAAAAGTAAAAAAGTAAAATAAAATGACAGTAAAAAAAAATCATTTGACAACGCCCATTTAGCATGAACCTAAGGCTACACCCCTGCAATCGTCACCCAACCCTAAGCAGAGTGCATCAAATATTTTTTTGCTAAGTGAAAACATTTTTTTTTCAAAAAAAGGAAGAAAAAAAAAACATTCCATGGTATACATTTCATGATTTTTGTTGTATGTGGGTACATTTTGTTTCGTTTTCACTAGAAAGCCAGTCGGCAGATTTTAAAATAATTACCAATATTTAATATCGCCTGGCGCTTAACGTCTGCTGGTGAATCGGGATACACAGACCACCCAAAAGGCGGGAAATTTTGTTAACAATTTGCTAGTTTTCTTTTGCGTATGCTACATGCATTTTTGCCTAAAATGTTTTGACTAAAAATGCTAAATTCTACATTTTGAGCTTAAGTTCGTTCTAAAATTAATGTATTGGATATATTTATTTCTAAAAAAAGAACTTTTTACAAAAAAATAGTTAAATCTTCGACAAAAGAATTTGTTCAAATATTTTGGCATCGTAAGCCAATCCATTACCCATATTATTATTATTTTGGCCCTAATTCTTTCCAAAAACAAACACGGGCCAATTACCTGGCCACCTCTCCTACCGACGCCACACGTCAGTATAATGGTTTCTTTTTTTTAACGAATTATTTCCCTTATCTGCAAAATGGAAAACGGATTTACCTCCCCGTAACGTGCTGTAAATGTGAGACCTGAGTCAACACGCGAGGAACAACAGAAAGACAGCGCGGATGGCGACGGCTTTTCAATGGCTTTATTTTAAAAAGTCGTATGGCTTTTTTTTTTTTTAAAGTTTATACAGCGAGTGAAACAAACATTAGTTATTAAGAACGAGTAAAATTTGAGTAAAAAATCCAATGACATTTTTTTTTGTTCTAAAAATAATAAAAACAGAAACAAAGATTTGTTATTAAGAAGGAATAGTTTCGGTTGGAAGACCTATCAATTAGATCAATTATAGTGCGCTTTATAAAATGTTATAGTTTAATACACGAAACAAAAGTATGCGATAAAATTGTGAAAACATGATTTTTCTATGAAAGGTCCAAGACAAAATAATTCTTCCGACCATTGGACGAAAGTTAATGTGGATGCAGTGTTCAGTTAAATTACGTTTCATTAATTCGTAAAATTACGACGAAGACGATGGATAACCTAGTTGAATTGTGTTCACTTAAGAGTAATTTTGAGCCCCCCCCCCCCCCCCCCACTGGGTAAAACTCGGTAAACCTCCTTAATCCCCCATTAATGGATTTAAAGTAACCTATAAAAATATGCATTATGGATTAAAATAACCTACAAAAATATGCAAGTTATAGAAAGTGATACAGTGGTACCCCGACATTCGAGATATTTACAAGCAGTCGAGTGAGCGAATTTTTTGCTTTGAGGTACGAAAAAATTTGAGATCTGATGGAACGATTCCGAGGGTTTCACAGTTCATGGAAAAGAAACACCTCGAAAAAAGTTGCAACACATGGTGCAACGCAGCTATTTAATGAGACTTGTCTAACTCATATCCGTAACTTTCCGAAAGGGAGGAAACACGTTTTGTTTTAAACGGCCCGCACGTGAAAGCGAGTAAGGCGTAGCAAAATAATAAACGATAATAAAAAGTCTAGTGACAATTTAATCGCAATTTCCTTAATTAATTTTTGTGACCGAACGAAAGGATATTTTTTTAAACTTTCTTCGGCAATACTGGTTGCCGAGATATGGGCCAAAAACTGCATTTTTTCGAGGTTTTTTGGCTTTTCTGGGAAATCCAGGAAGGAATTCCGGGATTTTTTTTGGCCCACAATCATCCTCGGAACTTGCTTAACATATTTGCTTTTGGAACTAGTCCTCGATATTGCTTCGTTGAGGAGGAGATACGACACATCGGACACACATCCATCCAGAGCGAGTTGATAATCGCAATTGTCCGTATGGAAATTGCGCTAAAAATGACCAATACAGAAAAAAGCAGTAACAAAAGTTAAGCGAAAATAAAAATAAATGATCAAGTATCATTTAAGTTCAACTATGTTAAGTGTAACTGAACGAAGTAAAACTCCGCCCAACTCCTCCACCCTACACCACCAGCATCTTCCATAAGCTCAAGTCGGCGGATTTTCAAAGAATTTACGCTTTATAAAACCAGTTGATCTTTTTACATTCTCCTTCATTACGCTTTTATAAACTATTTTAAACATATTTTCCACCTGACAAAAACGACTGGGATGGCTTTTTCCCCCAAATAATTTCAAAAAGATAATGCTTTGATTATATATATATATATATATATATATATATATATATATATATATATATATATATATATATATATATATATATATATATATATATATATATAATGAAAACCAATACCTGTGTAAAAATTTCAAAAAGATAATACTTTGATTATATATATATATATATATATATATATATATATATATATATATATATATATATATATATATATATATATAATGAAAACCAATACCTGTGTAATTAGACTTTGCTAAAACATATAAATAAAAATACTATACATATTTTTAAAGTAAATCTAGCTCAGCCTAGAGCCCACAAATATACTCCACATACCCGTAAGCGCCACTTTACAACTCACGCCATAAACGTAATTACCTCTCTTAAAATACCAATGCTACTTTTTTTTTCGAACTCCCCTCCCTACTCTCAACTCTGACGGCCAGGGGGTCTGTCAGGAGTCTGGAACCCGAGGCCTGAAACGTGTCAGGTATACCACGAGCCCGCTGTCATTTTTGTAAGCCTTATCTTGTGATTTCTCTAAAGGGAGATAACAATTGTCTCATTTTTTTTCCCTTACATAAACATTTGGTTTACTAAAGGGGCGTAATTTTCAGAACAGACAATTCTTACTTTAACGTGATTTCTATGTCCTATGTTTGTACAGTATGTAAACCGTCAACCACTTATTAGTACCATTCTTTTACCTACTAGCTGTTTTTCAAACAAAAACAATCTATTAAAAAATATTTTTATCTTACACCAATATACCTGTAGGTCAACACAATATTTTAAATATATATCATTAATTTATATAGTAGAATTGTGTTAAGCAAGATTAATGTCTGGAGTTAAAATATGATTAAGGGTTCAAACCGAATTTTTTTTCTTCAAAATTGAGTTATTTAAATATAAAACGGACCTTCTAAGTCTTGGATATGAGTTGTTGGTTGATGGTTTGACAATATTACCGCCCTGGCGGCGCAAGGTGTCCGGTGTGACTATACAGCAATCGCACTCTGTTATGGTGAGAAAAAACATCCTCTGCGCCGGCCCAGATGTCAGGGCCGGAGTGTTGCATGCCATCCGACCACCGGACAACGACTTAAGCAGCCCACCGTATCCATAGTGTATGGCACACTTTGAAACGAACTTAAGCGCCATACCTTTAGACGGGGAAGTCAGGGGCGTTATGGAGGAAGCGCCTGCTTCGATGTGTGCGTATAATGATATATATATATATATATATATATATATATATATATATATATATATATATATATATATATATATATATATATATATGTATATATATATATATGTATGTATATATGTATATATGTATATATATATGTATATATATATATATATATATATATATATATATATATATATATATATATATATATATATATATATATATTTATAAACATACACAACAACTTTTATTAGTTGAATTAATTGGTCACCCAATTATTGAACTCACGAAAAATCTGTATTTATTAAAGAGAGTATTCTATATACTTTATACAATAAAATCCATTTGAATTTGAGTACCTTCTCTCATACTCATATTGGTTTTCGTGCATTTTTTCATACTTAGCAGTAAAAAAAAAAACACGTGAAAAAAGTTCGCCTTGTCAAACGAGCGTCGACACCGCGAGTTTTCGTCATGTTCGCTAATGATTCGCGAGGTGCGAACACGAAGGGCACCCCGTCTTGCTTTCCATCGCCACTCTGCTGAGTTTTCTCCCCTTAGCAGACTAGCTAGACGGGCCGGCTTGTTTAGAAAGGATAATCGTTTCCTCGACAATTATTAGGGGAAAAAGAAGCCAACCAACTTAGAGTATTGACTCAAGGCGCGTTTAAAAATAAACTGTCATCACAGGTTTTTTTTTTAATCGCGCGAAGAGGGAAAGTGAATACGCATGCTCGGCAAGCACGAGGCTGTGTTCTATTTTTAGATCGTACAAAAATGAACAGGAAAATAAATTCCAAAACAAATTAAGATATACTTCGTATTTTTTAAAATTTGTGTTTGTTTTGTTCCAACTTAAGTTTAACGTAAAAAAGTACTATTTGTCACAATATTTAATAATTAATAAAACTGATTTAAACAAAGTTAAATTTTGTAAATATAAAAAAAAAAACCTTCTACTGTAAGCGTTCTATAAAAGTTTTTCTTTTCTGCTGGTCTGAATATAATTAGTGTTACCGGTTAAGGAAAAACTATATATATATATATATATATATATATATATATATATATATATATATATATATATATATATATATATATATATATTTATATATTAATTTATATTCATATAATATACATATGTATATATTTATATATTAATATATATACATATACATATGTGTATGTATATATATATATATATATATATATATATATATATATATATATATATATATATATATATATACCTTCAATGTTGTTCACAGGTCAATTGAGCACTGTGATGATATAAGATTAAAGCAACAAACAGCTAGACAAGTTTACAACAGACCACAAGACCTACGACTTACCTCTTGGTAGAAAGCTGCCGGCCATAGGTGAGTAGCCCACATAGGGGTGGTGTCCGGTGTGGGCCGGGTAGGGGAAGACCGGAAAAGCCAGCGATCCGGCTCTGAAAGCCGTGTGTGTGGAGCCGTAGTTGGGCATCTGTTTGGGGTGAGCAGCCGGGGAGGGTGGGGTCAGCGACGGGGACGGTGTGTGCAGGTTGAGTGACCCTGGGGAAGTGGTCAGGGCCGGCTCCTCCGGGGGTGGGTGTTTAGGGGTCACGGATTTTTCCGGGTCGCCGAGAATGTCCCGGATGAGGAAAGAGTGTCGTTTTGTCGTCATGTTTGTTTGTCCGTGCATGGCTCCACGTTTGTTAACACAAGCTTAGTTAACAAACGCTACGTTACAAATGTTAACTGAATTAGTTAACTTAGATCCGTCCAACTTTAAAACTCAATCGCTTATCTAAACTTTGTAAGCCTTGTTCAATCTTTTAGCATCCTTAGTATTGTCTTCTTCAGAATAACATTCTTCAAAACATGTCCGCCATCATTATATTTTAACAACTTGCACATCAATTTTGTTTCTGTCGCAACTTCTCTGGTTTAAGAAGAAAACCTGCCGAGAAAAAATATTTAAATTTAAAAATATAAAATAAAATAAATATAAAATAAAGTGCGTATTTGATAATGTTATATTGTACGCATTTCTTAAAGTATTTTTTTTTAACCAGAAGATAAAACCAACTTATAGAGTCTGGGGCAGTTGAAGCAGAGTAAGTTTGCTTCTACAATAAATGGCTAAACTATAAAATAAAATGAAATAAAACAATAAAAGTAAATGCGATATTTAAAAAAAAAGCAACTAACTCTTAATTAAATTCAGTTGTGTTAAGTTATTTTGAATGATGGTAAATTTAAGTTTTAATTGAATTCATTTGTGTTAATGTTGAATGAAAAATATAAACATAAATTATTTTTATATAAATCAATATGCTAGCATGGATTGAACATAATTAGTTGTTGTTGATATTCTATTCTTTATTTTCTATTTATAAAATCTTTGAAAATCGTGTCTGAATGGAAGTTTTAATTTTTTAATTCTTAATTAATTAAATCAAGAGCAATATGCCCTTTTTAACATTCGTGTTTTCAACTACTCTGTTTTCGAAAATTCCCTCCAATATTTCAGAATATCCTGATAATCTACTCTATATTTCCTTTTTAGTAAATGACGCCAGAATAATATTTTATTCTGGGTGGGCAAATGACCACCGTGGTAATACGCAACAATGAGCAACCCAGCCAATAAAACTATCACAAAGATTATTACTATTTTAAAATGTTTTCTTTCAGCAAGCAGTGTGTCACTGTATTCGCCACATCACACCATAATTTACTTGATGTTTTAAACTCTTCCCCCCCCCCCCATGTATATTAAACATTTTTAGAGCAAATTGTAATAACTGAGATGCCTAACTTTAGATTTATAGAAGATTGGTGGCAATAATAAAAAAAAAAAATTATTTAAATAAGTTATTGCCACTTGTTATCGATATTTATAAATAAGAAATGTTGTATATTGAATTTTTTTATTTCAATAATATTCTAGTTACGGTATAGTTTGGTCAATTTTAAAGGTATGTAGGTGTTTAGGTGACGCCTTAAATTCACTAACGGCTCAATTACCTGGCGCAAAACGACCCGGCATCCTAGTGTCGTGGTGTTAACCAGTTTCATTTGACCAGCGAGGTAAAGAGGTTTCAGTGGCTCATAACCTAGCTAGTTAATCTCATAGATAATCCCTCCTGCCCTTATATTTAAAGTGTGGATTTAAAGATAGCCGTTAGCCAAATACTACTGAAGATTCTTGGTCGTAAAGTCACACTTTGGGAAGCCGTTTAGGTAGACGGAGTAAAGTTGGTCTGTTACTGTATCCAGGGCACATATAGGAATTGTGGGGTCAAGCCAAAAAACGCAGTTGCCTTAACTTCACCCAACTTCCGTTCGGTACTCGATAGTGCTGGGTTGACTCAGGGACAGCTCACTAACTTTTGCCCTGATTTGTTTAGATTTGTTTGATATTTATTTTTAAACACACTGCCAATCATATAAAAATGTGTTAAATATTTTTATTTTAAATTGTTGGCGTTTAGAATTGATGCCGTTGCACAAATCGCGCGACTGTACATAACATAAGGCTCTAAAGAAAATTAGACAATAATATTGAATTTTTAAATTTTTTTTCAAACATACCATTAACTTTTTCAAGGCGTCAGTAAATAGCTGTTTTTTTTATTTTTTACGCCATCTATCTTTTGATGATCATACCGAAAAAATTCATCTAAATAATTTTTAATAAATATATAATGCAAAATGTGAGTTATATTTTAAAGCTACCATCTCTTTGTAGTTCCAAAAGCTTATTGTGGTTATGTCAACCCCCCCCCCCCCCCCCTCCATCCTCTATATCCTCGATCTTTTAAAAACGGTTTTGTTGTTTAAAGTGGCAATAAAAATAGTTATTCGATCAGAATTTAGTCGTATTGACAAAATTACAAGCACACATTTAGAAGAATTTTATTGAGATCTCTAGTAACTAAATTATCAATTAAATTCGGCATTAGTTTGAGTAGTACAGTCATTGGTGTGATACAATTATTATAGACTAATGTTGAGACAACATCTTACGCCAAAGCAGATTTTATAGCAGTTAGTTAATACTAGAATTGCACAGTACACTAGAAGAGTATTTAGTCAAGTCGAAACTTAAAGCTACATTGTACAACGTTAAATTTAAAAAAAAAAATACGAGACTGATTTTTTTGCAATTTCTTTTACTATTTAAGGTAAAAGAAAATAGTTTCTTGCAAACAAACTGTAACAAAGGGTTTTAGTGTTGAATGGTGATCATTTTAAGTCGATTAAGGTCATGTATCGAAAGATGGGTTAGGCGTTGGAAAAGAATCATATTCAGGCTGGAACTAATCCGTAAGATACGGCAAATTGATGTGCTACAGTACAGTGTGTTGGGTTTGAAAATTGCCTCAGTTCGGCATGCACATGAAGAAACAAACCCTGAGCCTTACACCCAAACCCTTAAACTATCTATAACCCAAACCCGAAACCTACACACAACCCTTTAAACTATCTTCAACCCTAACTCTACACACAAACTTTTAAACTATCTACAACCCAAACCCGAAACCTACTCCCCAACCTTTAAACTATCTATAACCCAAACCCAAACCCGAACCCTACACACAACCCTTTAAACTATCTTCAACCCTAACTCTACACACAAACTTTTAAACTATCTACAACCCAAACCCGAACCCTGCACATAAACCTTTAAACTATCTACAACCCAAACCCAAACCCTAACCCGAACCCTACACCCCAACCCTTAAACTATCTACAACCCAAATCCTAACCCTACACACCAAACATTTAAACTATCTAAACCCAAAGCCGAACCCTACACCCCAACCCTTAAACTATCTACAACACAAACCCGAACCCTACACCCCAACCCTTAAACTATCTACAACCCAAATCCTAACCCTACACACCAAACATTTAAACTATCTAAGCCCAAACCCGAACCCTACACCCCCAACCCCCAACCCCCAACCCTTAAACTATCTACAATCCAAACCCAAATCCTACACACACGCCTTTAAACAATATACAACCCTAACCCTAACCATACACCCCAACCGCACCCTAACCCTATACCTCAAACCTTAAACTAACTACTACCCTTGTCCTACTAGGCCTAACACTAACCCTAACAACAAAACTTGGAATGATGCCGTGTGTTTAGTTGGTGGCGTAGCTAGGATTTTTTCAGCATATGCCGTCCTGTTCATTGCCACTCCTCAACAAACCCCCATTTAAAAGTTGGCCAAATCTTCTGAAAACTCGTGTGTACTGTGTGGTTATGGTCAGAACAGGGATTTTTAAAGAATTTAAATATTTTAGTATTGTATTCCACAAAGAATAAGACTTAAAGGACATTCTTTCGAAATAAAAAAAAACCTCATTAGCAGAATTAAAAAAAATAATCATGTAGCAGAAACATACATCGCGAGCGCATAGTGTGATGGAGAACAGATACAGTAGTAGTTTGTCATTAATGTATGCGCTGTGGACGTTCTGCGCTATTATCTTTACCAAAGGACAGCAGTTGCCGACACAAACAACTCGCCACCTCCACCCAAAACAATACAACCTTTGATGATTTTGCTAATTAAAATCATCAAATATTTTTTTAAGTTCCCAAATTTTAGTTGACGCTATTACTGATCTAACAAGAGCAACAATTAAAACAACTAATTGAATATGCTAATTATTGTATTATAACATAGCCTACATGTTTTAATAAGGTAACGTTGTGAAATCAAAGAGAAACTTACCCCATGTATAAAATAGTATTCACAGTACTAGAATACATTTATTTTTCGACATACTGACTTTCACATCACTGGCATAACGGCAAATTAAAGTGATTTAATTACGATAAAATAACAATTATCCTGAACAGATTTGGCCTGACGTCATCGACACACGTAATACCACAACAACTGCGCTGATAACCCTAACACTAAGCGCAAAACCTTAGGGTAGGATCCTCATGTAGTTCCGATATGGCGGAAGTTACGCCGAAAATTTTGGCCCCGCCTACGAGTCCCAGAAGATGAAAACTCTGGCACCGAGGGCGTCAGTCGAGGGGTTGATTTTGGTACCGCCCCTTTCCTTGTTATGCAGGTACGGTTGTCTTTAGCATGCAGGTGAGTGATCTCCCCCCCCCCCCCGCCAGGGGCGTTAGTTGCTATGGTCGTTATGCAGTTGCCAAGGACGCTTGGCATTTGTTGTCTATAGCCGTACTTAGGTATTCGTTAAGTTAACACTCGCTGATAATGATAGTTTCATGTTCACACCTAACACTGACTATTGACCTCAACGGATACAAATCCAAAAGATTATTCCTGGGACTGACACTAACGCTTGTGAATTATTTTTTTTTAAAATCGTCAAATAAGGGACATTGTAATCCCTTAAAGAAGGGGTCTCCAAACTACGGCCCGCGGGCCGGATGCGGCCCGCGACGTCCTCTCATTCGGCCCGCGGAATTCTTTTTGTCCACGGAAAAAAACGTTTGTTGAGGAACTTTGCTCAGAAAAATCAAAGACATGCCTGGGAGAAACTGGCCCCGAACTGAAATTTGATAGTTAATGCGGCCCTCAGACTGAAAAGTTTGGAGACCCCTGCCTTAAAGTGACGGAATGGTCTAGCGGTAGAGAGCTGGACTGCTAACCCGTAAATCTCGAGTTCGAATCC